TTCCAAGGCTTATTAACCAAGGATCCATCATTCATGAAGCATCACAGGGAGCCAGGGAACCCCAGACACCTCCAGACATGCCAGCATCCCTGCACTGCCCAGCTGGAAAGACTGTTCTTGGGGTTGTGTGTGGCCACATAGTCCAGGATTTTGGTGCACCTCCTCTGCCTGCTCCGGAGTTGCTCTCAGGTGAGCCTGGCTGAAGATGTATATGGTGTTCTGTTTACCTGAGCAGCCCCACAGCCTCCAGCACAGAACCAGAAACATACAGAGCCTGTTGACTGACAGATGCCAAGTGCCATAAAATGAGAATATTTCAAACCACTCATCCAAACTTAAGCAAAGCCAAATAAATGACACTTCTCCGAGGAAAGTAGCTACACACTAAGGATTCTCCACTCTCCTTTCACGGTTGCCTTGGTGAAGCTTCCAGATTCGGGCTGAGGGCTTGAGCTGCCATGCCAAACAACAGCTATATCCTATATCCTAATATGGCTGTAGGACATAGAATAATAGCAGCTATCCTAGTAATAGCTATTTCCAAGCACTTTCTCATCTAATCCTCACAGAACCCCCGTGAGGTAAGATTCTTATCTCCACTTAATAACATGGAAACTGAGGCTCAGCCAGGAGAAGTGTCTGTTAGGGACGGAGTCAGAGTTCACGCTCAGGTCAGCTAGCTCCAAAGGCTGTCCTCATGTCCACTCCATTGGCTGGTAGAGTAGAGGAAAGGTGGTGTGCGCTGGTGCCCTAAGCTGACCCCGAGGCAGGAGGTCCCTGATGTCTGGAGAGGGCCTGTTCCTGGAGACTTCCCTGCCCTAGTCCTGAGCCCTGCAGCCTGGGAAGTCGATGTCAAGACCCAAGAGCCAAAGGGCAGAAGGGACTTACTCCCCTGAGATCGGAATTCTTTCTCCAGGTCCTATGTTGGACTCATCAGGCTCCTGACATGCTCCTCTCCCTAGCTCCCTAACTCCCTAACTCCCGTCTCCTCCCCCAGGGCTGATGGTCAGAGTGTGACCAATGTTGCCAGCTTCCCTGAGTTACTTGGACTTTCGATCCACTGTGGCTATGAGGCCAGCCACCTGCCTGACCTCTCTGAAGGTGTCCACATGGTTACACGTTCAGTCCCAGCCCTGCTGGTCTGCTCTCCCAGTAGACAGTCCTGCCTGGACAGAACTGTACAGGGGTGAGGTCTTAGATGGTGACACGAGGACTGACCTTAATTTCTGAAAGTTCTGGAACCATTTGAGGAATAAATAAACCCTGTGAGTTTTTCAGCCTCCTAGGTGAAAATAACATTAAATGTACAGGATGTTAAAAATGGTAACACAGGGCCCGCTGAGTGGCTCAGTGGGTTAAGAGCTCGCTCAAGAGTGTGAGCTCTGAGCAACAGGGTCGCCAGTTTGATTCCCGGCCCGAGCTGAGCTGCCAACAGGTGGCAGGATGGCTCAGCTAAAAAAAAACCAAAAAAACGGTAACATAAATCCCTGTGTTCACTTTTTAAATGTGTGTTAATATTAAGTCGCCATTTGCACCTATTATACATATGCCAAATATATATTTTTCAATCTGAAAGCAACAACTATGAGGCATCAATTGTTCCCACTTTATAGATGAAGACAGAGGGGTTAATACAGTCCCCAAGGTCACACAGCATGAAAACAGCAGAGCTGAAGTTCAAATCCAGCAAGTCTGACCAACTCCAAAGTCTAGGCTTTTAACCTCTCAGTACAAAACTATGAGAGCTCCACTGCTTCTGTACGTCCTGTCACCCCAGCGGAGATCTTATAAGACAGAATAATGTCAATAGCAGGAGAGTACAGCACAGTACATCATGGGGGATGTGGAAAGATCCATGAGGTCCTGAGTATAATTCCCAGTGGCACCTTAAGTTAGCTGTGTGGACTTCGGCAAATCTCTCAGCCTCCCTGAAGCCTAGCTTCCTCCTCTATAGAGTAAAAATAATTCTTCCAACAGAGTAATTATGATAATCGATAAAATGTTAAGTTCTTGGCACATAGTAGTTGGTCAGTAAATATACAGTCACTATGTATTTATTGAGCACCTACTATGTGTCAACAAAGACCCCCTAAAGAATGACCTGGCACTGCATCCTGCCAAGCAGTGACACCCCTTCCTTTTCTAGCCATGTTGGGGACCTCCCCAGAACCACCTTTCAACAGAAAGATCAGAACAATCAGGACTCACGGGATAAAAGTCTTTTTCGGAATTTTGGTGTGATCATTTGGGTTGTAATAACCGGGTCCTGGGGCTGTTGATGTCGGTTTTAATCCACGGCCAGTTTTTGATTTAAAACAAGACATTGACATCTTTGGCGACTGCTTCACAAGGCATTCGTTGATATTATAATGCCCTAAATAGAAAGAAATTTTAAAACAGAATAAGAAACTCTTCTCAAATAAATAAAAGGCCATACCTTATGCCTAAGGAGACATTCAATGACTATTAAGCAATATCACTCCCAAATGGTCAAATGGAAGGGCTGCCTGAAATAACTAAAAATAATACCCACCATGTAGAGAACACGTGCCATGTGCATCACACACTTAGCTCATTTAATCCTCCCGCAGCCCAGCAATATGGGTATTATCACCTCCATTCCAAACACAAGGAAACTGAGACTCAGAGATATTAAATAATTTGCCCAGCAACATTCATCTCACCAGGGACTAAGCCCGCCTTCCTCCTCTATAAAGTAAAAATAAGAAATCTTTCAACAACAGAGTGGTTATCATAGTTGAATAGCATTTCAGGTTCCTGGCACATAGTAGCTGTCTAGTAACTGTTACGCAAGCAACACATATTTATTGAGCACCTACTACGTGGATCCAGGGCCACCGGTCTCCAAAGCCCATGCTTTCCCACCGTGCCCTGTCTCAAGAAACTGTGACAAAGAAAAATTAATTCAGCTGGGCACAAAGCTTCAAGGAAGAAGAGAAAGATCTGAGCTGGGGTGAAGAGGAAGCAGTCTCACCCCTAAATTGTTGGCAGCCCTGTCAGTGGGTGCAGGCATTTTGGAGTACAAGCAGGAGTACTAGGCGAAAGCCTGGAAGATGTCTGCACACTTTGACCCAGGCTTCACATCACTCAGAAATTAAGAAAATTATTTAACATAATGGAAAACCTTTATGCATAAAGAGACACACCATGGAGGTAGCTACAATGTGAAAAAGAATGGCCTAAATGCCCAAGAACAGGGGCCCAGTTACGGGAACTGCAGCCCAGTCTGCGGTTATGTCAGCCCGGACGATGACAAACAGAAAGATCATAAAGCCACATGGCCATGGTTTTGAAAAGGTAAGTGACAAAAGTAAAATAAAGCCTGAAAGTTGGTATGTGCCATGACGATATCTGTGTACAAATTGATACATCTGAAAAAAAAAAATGGGTGGGAACCCAGAAAAGTGGAATTAGTTATATTAGTGGTGGCATGGAGGGTGGGAAAAATATTTCAAAAGTTCTAAACATCTTAGAGTTGATTTTGTTTTAAATAAAATTTACTTTCCCATCGCAAAAGTACAAAGAGCAACAATATGGTACATGTTAGCAAGATTTTTTTTAAATGGTCACACCCAGTGATGGCAAAGGGTGAGGAGGAACAAGTGCCTCAGAGAAGCAGGAAGACAAATGATCCCTGTGCTGAAGGGCATTTCAGTCACAAATAACAAAACAGCTTAAATATTTGACGTACCTTTTGACTTAGAAATTTCACTTTAAGCAAGGTTTCCTCTTTTTTCCCAGTTTTATTGAGATTTAATTATATAAAGAAATAATCTTGATCGTATACAAGTTGTGAGCTATGTTGGCTGCCACTGTATTTATATTATTAATCAGTTTAAAGCAACCTAAATTTCCAATGAGGGCATTTGTGCCTTAACTTATGGTATCACCATACAGGGGGAATGCTATAGATCCGTTTAAAAAACGATGATCTAGGAGGGCTTTTTTTTTTTTTTTTAAGATTTTTATTAGGGAATTGGGGGATGGGAACAGCGCTGGGGAATTGGGGGAAGGGGAACAAACAAGTTGCTGTCGTTTTGTTCTTCAGTCTAGTTGTGGAGGACGNCTTTGGCATACACTCTGGCTTTGCCCCCTTGCAGAGGGCCGCAGCCATGGAGGCCCCGTCCTTCTCAGGTTGGCCCAGGTCCTTCCCTGAAAAGTGTGGGGAGAGCGAACCAAGCTCCTCAGTTCTATTGTACCGTCCCTGAGAGTTCAGCTTCATGAGTGGGCTGGTGTGGCACCTGCCTCTGGCTCAGGCAGGCACGCCTGAGTGACACATCGCAGTCTCCTGTTGAACCCAAACCACACTGGTCCACCCACCACACCTCCTCCATTTGAACTCACACCCTGTGCCTGAGTCCTCGGTCTGGCCTGGTGACTAAGGAACACTGCGTCTTCCCCAAATCTACACATTAGTTGCTCAAAAGTGTCCACACTTCTGTGTACTAGAAGAGGCAACCTGGCACAGTAGGTGGGCATGGTAACTGGCAGGCCTGGGTTTGAGTTGTGGCTCAGCCACTTGGGCATTGTGCCATCCCCTATAAAGTGGGACAGTGAACAACCCCCATGCAGGTCAGAGAAGGTCAGAGAGAGAGTCCGTGAGGCACCTGAAATGTTGGAGGCACCTAATGGGTAGTAACCATTGCTATCATCCTTGTCCCTCAGAGGCCCTGAAAAGGCGGGGCCTCGGCCAGTCTACCCACACCTCCTCTTCTCTTCCAGAATCTTGGTCAACATGGACAACAACATCATTCAGCATTACAGCAACCATGTTGCCTTCCTGCTGGACATGGGGGAGCTCGACGGCAAGATTCAGATCATCCTTAAGGAGCTGTGAGGACCCTGGGCGGTAAGCTCCAGTCAAGGAGCCTGCTGCGAAGTGGTCCCGCGCCACACACAACCTCTCCTCATGCCTCAGTGCTGTTACTTGAATGCCTTCCGTGAGGGAAGAGACCCTCGAGTCACAAACCCACAGATGTCAGGGCCAGGAAGGGACCTGGGCGGCGTCCTGATCGGAACCCCCATTTCATGCTTGAATCTACTCTCTGAACTCCTGCCAGTGCCTGCCCAGCCAGAGACAGTGTCGTCTTGGTTAACGTACCCAACAGACTGTTTCCTCCTCCCAAAGCCCCTTCTCTGAGGTCAGCCTGATGGCTGCCGATCCAGCTGGTAGGGGCGGGCCAGCTCTCCCAAAGCCGGCTCGACTACTCTCCGGTTCCCATTCTTGGTTATCCCATCAACTTCAGACCAAGGGTCTCTCACCCTTTCCTCAGTGAACTGGAACACTCTTGATTGTCAGTGCAAAGGACTTTTGAAAGAAACGATGGTGGATACACTCTCTCTCTCACGGACTTCCTCCATGCCAGATGTAAATAACGGAGCGGGTCGGCCAGAACAAAGTGGATGCTGGATGCTGTGTAAACGACCCGACCGCTGCCGTGCCTGCTCACTGTTGTACACATTTCTTATTTACAATTTTCATTTATGTTATATATATATATAAGTATATATTGTATATATATGCAACATTTTATATTTTTCATGGATACATTTTTATCATTTCAAAAAATGTGTATTTCACATTTCTTGGACTATTTTTTTAGCTGTTGTTCAGTTATGCATTTTGTATACTCATATAGTATTTAGTAGTAAAAGTCCGCCTGTGTGTTACTTCAAATGCTACCCGTGTTCCGTTTGTCAAAGTCTTCCAGGAAGAGAGGGTGAAAGTCGATACACCTCGCTCCTTCTCTGGCCTGTGAGTGGTTTGCCCGGGACTTCAGGTTGGTGGCAAGTGCTGGGCACTAGCGGTGACCACCTGGGAAGCAGCAGAATCCTGGTGCCCAGATCTCTGTCCTGCGGGGTCCCACGGGCTGAGTGGTATGACCTCAGGATCATTGCCTGGACATGAAGAAGTCCTGGGAAGGGTCCAGGAAGTCCTTGCTGAAGACCTCATAGCTGGGGCCAGTGGGCAGAGCCCAGGGCTGGGAGCCACGTGACCTGGGTTCTTGGGCTAACTCTGTCCCCACGCTCTTGGCTAAGTCATTTTCCCTGGGTCCTGCCCTACTGGTTCACAAAAGCGACTGTGCCCAGCTCTTCTCAGCTCAGTGGTCAGTGACATCTTGTTGGTGGAAGTATTTACATCATGGGAATTGGCCAATGCTACAAATGAAAGCCATTTCTTTCCCTTAGAGAACAAATCACAAATCACGCCTTCCTCCTTCTCTTTGCCCTCCTTCCCTCCCTCGATCCCACACTACTTTCCACACCCACTGCCATTTCACCCTCACACATCACCCTGGTCTGGCATCGAGGGTGGTGTCACAGCAACAGTGAGGCCTAGAGTGGGCCGAGCAAATCTGGGTGCCCCACGGGGTCCCTCCAGGAGCCTGAGGCCAAAGAAAACATCAATAATACTGATCCTGGCTTCAAAATGTTGATATTTTCTTCAATCATGGAAATTTTTTTTTTGCTTTCATTATTAAAAAACAAAAACAAACAACATTGCATTGAACAATTATTTATCTTGATTACTGAGTTCTTTGGCTTCTCCTAATTTTTGTGCCTGAGGCTAGCTAGTACCTCACTTGCCTGACCCTAGTCTTGACCCTGACTCCAGGCAGGATACTGGGAATTAGAACCATAGATGGACTGTCAGGGCCAGGAGGCCCTTAGGGACATCCACGGTTTTCAAACTTTTTCTTCAGGTTTTGTTCAGACAAAAGTTTATGAGAAACCCTAACGTGTAACTAGTGGAAAGCAGAGCTGCTATGATTGAAGTCCGGAAGGAGACTCTAGGGCTGCCTGCTGTCCCCTCACCCTCGCTGTGGTGGCCTTTGAGGCCCACCAATGAACCCCAGGGCTCTAAAAATGACAGTNGGGCCCTCTGGCGTCCCAAGCCAGCTCTTAACCAACGCGCCACTTGGCTGGTCCTGTAACCCATGTTCTTCAAGTGACACCTTAATATGGGCATTTCCGCCCTGTTCTAATAACCTTCTTTCTAAAGGAAAAATAGAGAACATTGGCGATGTGCTTGGCACACCTCAACTTTAGAAAATCCAACCAGCAAATGTGTAAAGGTGAGCATTTTCAGAATTGAAGGCAGGCGAGACCTGGCCCTCAGCCCCTGAGGCAGAGGGACACAGCAAGTCGCCATTTACGGCTCCACATCCGGTTTTCTCCCAGAGGGGGAAGCAGAAAGCACAGCATTACTTCCCAGAAGTCAAAGCAGACTGTTTCTGGCAGAGGGGTACATACCCCAGGCTCTGGTCCCTGCCATGTGAGAGTGGGGAGGTATCTGAGGGACCAGACATCAAGCCCAATAGGACTTGATTCAAATCTGATGGGACCCTGGGCTCGTCACCTGCTTTCTATGTATCCTTTTTGCTTGTAAATGGGGATAAAATAATAACTCACACTTTCAGTGCTAGGCAAATCATGTGCTAGACAAGTGCTCCATGGCGTGTTGAATATTCCATGAGATAGATAATGAATGTCAAGCCTCTGGCACACAGTAGGAGCTTACCAGATACTGATGCCCACCTCTCCCCCTCCTGCTCATTTTGCGAGGGGCTGGAGGCCCCTCTCAGGACCCTCTCGGAGGGAGTGGGAGCATGTGGCTGGCTATGAGGGTGCCCACATCCCGGGGCTCACTGGCCAGGCCTCTGGCCAAGCCCCAGGGATGCCGGCTTTGTTCTCCTGTATAAACAAACAAGGTGGGGCTTTGCCCATGATGATGCAAGACAGGGGAGCGTTCCCCGGCTTAGCCTCCTAATTAGGGCTGGTTTTGTTTTCCAGCTTCACACTGATCTCCTCAACTTTAATCTGGATTTGCTGAAATCTGACAAGCGCTGCAATTTTATCCACACCCCCTTCCAAGGGGCGTGATTGCAGAGGTAAGCTTGCCCTGCTCCTCTGGGTTCTGGGGCCCACAGCTCCCTCGGGAGGTTCTTCAGGACCCACTTGGGAAGGTCTAATATCACAGTGCTCCTGCAGTATAGATGGCTACATCACTAGACCTCTCTGGAAACTTCTCACTCAGGCTGGAAGGTGGGGGAGGAGGTCTGAGCGCACAGGAGGGGGTGCAGCCCAGTGGACAAAACACTTGCAAACCCTTGTGTATTCTGGCATCCTGGCAGCTGTGGAAGCCACAGTGGAAAGACAGGGTAGCAGTCTCCTCAGTCAGACACCTCTGGGCTGCGGTCTGCCATGTATTCAGTGTACAAGTCACTTCAACTCTCTAGGAGCGTGGATCTGTGAGGACAGATGCGTGAGCACTGCATGGAAAATACTTAGCAGGGAGTGCGTGTTCAGTAAACACAGCTATTTTCCATCATTTGAGGACTAGGTGATGAAGTCGCCTCCACGCACAGGAGAAAAAAGGATTGCAGCTGAGGGTTGAAGGATCAGGACCCTCAGTGTATCATGTGCCCCCCGTGGCCTGTGATAGCGCCTGGGGTATGTGAATGTGCACACTTCTGACATGAAAAGCCACTTCCCCACCCTGCTCCCCAAGAGCAAGTGTGCCACCAGCTCATTAAAGGGAAGACCAACCAGACTGCTTTGGGGAGGTTTCTAGAGCCAGTCATTTTTCTCCTGAAAAGGGAGTGCTGATCTTCTCCTCACGTTTCTCTTTGTTCAACACGTGTTTTCATCCCCACCTCCTCAAAGCCTAACTCCTTCCAGAGACTCCCCATGAAGGAACGAGTGTCCTCAGATCAGATCATCCACAAACCCTTAGGTCGAGGCCAGTACAAGGCAGCTGCTTACCTGGGGCAGGTCCTCTTTCAGCCATAGTGAAAAATCTTCTCTCAGTTTTGGACATAAACCCGGCTCGGGCACTGACATTGTTTTTCTGCTTGCAGCAAGAGACAGAGGCCTGGAGGGAGACAATCAGCATGGTGTGCCCCGTGTCTTCCTTTCTTTGTCATCATGCCTGGACGAGTGCCCCATTTCGGTAAAAAATCAAATCTAAACCTGTCCTTAGANACAACTGGATTAAGTGTGTTTGCAGCTTCCAGTGTGAGCTGTTTGCAAATCGCCCAAGAATAATGAATGTCTCAGAGGACTCAGCAGGTCACTGGGGGAAGGCATCCGAGACCCTCGGGACACTCCCAGGCACAGATTCACTCTGCCTCAGGGATTCCCAGGGTCTGGAAGGATAAAGGGGCAATTTTTTTCCCTCATCATTAAAGGGCAGCCAATGCCCCTGGGGTGGAATGTAGTATCTGTTTAACAGAGTAGCGGGTGACAGATTACAGCGCTTGGGAAGAAGCGCCCCATATCTAATTGAAAATCCCAGGGGAACTTTAGGTGGGTCCAATGTAATTACCCAAATTGGAGCGGGGCCAACGGGGCTTGACTCTTCGGCTCTGGTTGTGACAGGACAGCATGTCGGCGCAAAACCAGTGGCTTAAAACTCCAGGAAGTAGATCAAGGGTTAGAAAGATGTCAGTGGGTGTTTCTGCTCCTCGCTGGTGAGTGTGAGCTGGAAGGCAGCACCCAGGAGGAGCTGTTTTGATCTCTAAAAGCCCTTATTCCTGACTCACTCTAACTGATTGAGTCATCGCTGTGACGGATAGTCAAGACCTGCAGAAGTGAAACCTTGGCTGACACTTCTCTTCTCAAGACCCTTGCAAGCTGATAAATCCTTTCAGCTCTTGAGTCAGCAAGGTGGCCGTAAAAAAAAGAGACGCGTTCTTCAGCTAAGGAGTCCAGAAATGGCCGCACTGACACCCCGCCAGCCCCTAGCACAGCATCTGCCCTCCTGGGGCCACTCAAGAAGCATCAGGCGAGTGTAGAGAATCCGCTTCAATAAAAACACAAGTTACAAGTATGAAAAGCTTACCTGTGCTGGACCTGGTGAGCTATGTGGTTATCTTATTTTATCCTTGCAAGCGCCTTATGAAGTGTTCTTGGTCCAATTTGCAGAGGATGAATTTGAATTGCCATGGAGTTAAGTGACCCCGACTCCCAGGTTCCCAGGGCTGGTGAATGGGGAAGGCAGGAGGTTTGGGGGGTCCCACGTCCAGCCTGTGCTTGTCTCTACTTTGCCACACTGCCTCCCCAGGAGACATGACAAGCCCAGGCGCCCCGCCTGCCTCCTGAGGGCTCCCTGTCACCTCACCCGACCTCTCACCTATCCGGGCTTTACTTCTGTTGGTCAGTAACGTGGGACTAACAACTCCAGGGAGAAGGAGTATCTCCCTGCATCTTGGAGAAAGCAGAGCCAACATATGGTTTTTGCAAACTGGAACCCTACCCAGGAATAGGGACCCAAGCACTTCCAACAAACGAGGGCAGGCCTCACATGCTGTCACATGCGTGTGAAACTTGACCTGTGCGTGCTTCCGAAAAACAAACAGTGACAATTCTCAGATTCTCCTCCACCACCCCACGCAGCCCTGGAGATCTAACTATGATTAGGCTCGATGTGGACAAAGCCTCAACGGAAGTTACATATAGATGGGGAGGAAACAGTGCAGACCTTCTCAGGGGCCTAACGATCCCAGCACATGGGTCCCCAGTCCCTCTTCCCTCCGGGGACACAGGAAAGCTGACAGAACTCGAATTGAAAAGCCTGGAGTTTGGATATTCCCCCAATACCACAATGTTCAGCTGTATCTTTTCTTCCCGTTACATCGTTTCTTCATTATTCAACATAAATGGGTGGATGCTTTTT